ATTCCTGATGAGTATCGATGCAGTGTGCAAGTACTCCTGAAGTGCTTCTGCAAGTCGGCCTGCAATGGTCAAGTATGTAGTCCTGAACAAAAGTATGGACTTGCTTGCCCCAACCCAATAGGCAGAGGAGCTCCACGGTGGATGACCAAGCGCAAAAAATTGAAGAGGGACATCTGTGAGCTGTAGAACACCCATCGGTCCTTATCAAAGGTACACTTGATGAGTCGTTTACCATTACTTCTTATCCCTGATGCTAGAGCCCAGAAAGTGCTTTCTAGTGCTGAGAATAGAATTGTTATGTGGCTTAGTTCCCTCCTATATTATGACTTGACAGCCTCAAGAAAGGAATATATCAATGAAAATAAACAAGAACGATTCAGCATTTTGCATTTGAAAGGGTTCTTCAATTCGTCTAATTCACTATTACACGGAACTGCGTAAGCGCGAAACCTACACTCTTTCTTTAGATCTTCGCTAGTGTCTTGGAAGCGTTCCAGTTCGGCTAGGGTCGGCTTAACACCTTCAGCAATCTGAAAATCATCGCTTAAGTGACGCATACTGCATGAGAAATTCTTTATGACTTACTATTGCATTCATCGGGAAGGATTTATAAAGGAAACCACGCCTGTAACTGTTCCCCTCGAAGATAACAAAGTCGCCGTCATTCGTAACTTCTCCTCCGATTTCCCTGGAAAACACATCACGTCGAATCATGACAATTAGACAAATACCTTAAAGCACAGCAAGAATAGTTACTTGATTCTGTCCAGGTCGAAAAGTCGAGGCATAGGACGACGTTTCACCTTATGGTTACGATCCGCTTCCTGAATAACTAATAATTCAAAGTTTCAGACCCTATGTCAAATGAATATAGAAACAGACAGTTCGCAGAGCTCCTCTCATCCTCGTGTAATCGATTCTAGGAACAATACGTAGGTTCACTTTACTTTGAGCCACATCCACCCAATCCACCTGAAACATAGAAAAAACTCCTTAAACGTTCGAAAAACCGTCATAACATAGTTGAAACAGTTGCTATACCTGTGCAAGGTCATCTTTGTACATGGTGCGTTTCAGCCGAACGTATGAGTTAACTTTCAAAGCGGGAACATCTTTAACAACACGCAGAGTATCTACCATTTCTTTGATCGGTACCATCTGAAGTATAAAAAGATTGTTGACGAGTAAGCAAAACGAAAAGAAAAACGGTTCTCATACCGTCACGTTGAACTGGTTCAAAGCGGAAACGCCATTAATTGCGCTGGCGACATGCGATTGTTTGAAGGCTTCGATATAGATTATACCTTTCAGACCTTCTTTAACGACGATGGACTTGATTAGCAAAGGCTGAAATAGCGGTGCATTCAAAGAACCATACAGATATTTAGTGGCTCGTACTGAATACCTCATTTGTGTTCTCAAAAGCCAAATATTTGCGCATTAGCTGCAAAGCAACCAGCTTTTCTTCGCCCATCCTACACTTCACTATCCACAGATTTGGATCCTTTGTTGATGGCAAAAGTCCATGTTGAGATATATCGTCTGAAAACAAGCAACGCGTTTCCAGTAGAATGACCATATGTACATAAAAACTTTACCGATGGCAGAATCTTCTTCAACAAGGTCTCTTATTGGTTGTGTTTTGTACTTATTCTCGAAATATCGACCAATCTCATCTTCATTCATATTCCTAAAATTGGCCACGAAATAGTCAAGCTAGATGAAGAGATTTTCAAGTGGAACTCACGCAAATTTGTTTCTTTCGTTACGTCTTCTCTCTGCATCAAGCTGCTTCATGTACTTTTCAGCCTGCAATCGAACTTCGTTAGTAGAAAACAAGGATAACCGTTTGCGATGCGATCAACCAACTTCCTCCTTTTCGTTTGGTTCGAGAGCTCGGTCTTCTTCGTCGTCCCAGTCATCCTCATCCTGTTCTTCATCGTCCACATCAACATCTTGTAAAATGAAATCAGATCCACGAGGACGACGATCCTTCTGAACATCGATAAATGTTGCTATGTTCAAACTCCTTACGATGCTT